CTCGTCCAGTTAAGTCCTCTCTCAGGTACTCCGGCCTAGATCTGTAGCTAGTAAAGGCACCTCTAATGAAGAATTATCAAATGCATTTTGACAATCTACATGATTCTGATGTCTATCCGGCTGATCTTTGTCTCCAGCAAGAACATTATTTTAAACATTGGCTCTATGAGCACATGACGATTCACATTAGTGAAAGAGTGCTGGGAAGACGGGACACCACGAGCGTAGCTCTCATCCTGTAACTACACTTAGGTAATAAAAAAAAAAATTCATATCTTGTTCGTTGTTATTATTATGTATCCCCTCATTCCTGTTTTCTCAAACGTGGTCATTCTGAGCTCTCGCAGCTATTTCACTGTAGGTAATTTCCCTCTGGTCTGGGAGAGAAGCATTTCCTGTGTCTAGTCGCATTTCCCTGTAATTTCTCAAATATTATTTTAAGCTTCTTCAAGTGTGGACTCTGCTGACGCGCGCGTGTGTGTGTATATGTGTGTGTGTGTGTATGTGTGTGTGTGTGTGTGTATGTGTGTGTGTGTGTGTGTGTGTGTGTGTGTGTGTGTGTGTGTGTGTGTGTGTGTGTGTGTGTGTGTATGTGTGTGTGTGTGTGTGTGTGTATGTGTGTGTGTGTGTGTGTGTGTGTGTGTGTGTGTGTGTGTGTGTGTGTGTGTGTGTGTGTATGTGTGTGAGTGTATATTTACTATTTGTGCCACTAAAATAATGCACATGTGTGAGCGTGCGCGCATACACGAGCGTGTGTGTGTGTGTGTGTTCGAGTGTGGCATTTGTTTACGTTTATGTGCTTGAGTATTTGTTCAAACGTATGTTTGAAGTGCATCAGAATGTTAGTAGGTGTAAACCACTGAATGGGAGAGAGTGTTGCCTCCCCAACCACTTCCACCGAGCCCTGGCAAGCCTCTTAACTACAGTAAACTCAGCCCCCACCACCCCTCCTCCCCATTATTAACACTAAGCCAGTAATTGTATTCATTATCTAGATGCCATCACATCTGCCATTCTCAACCTTCCGGTGAGAGTGTAAAAGACCCAGAATCCCAGGGCCAAGCGGAGACATACCCTCCATGTGATATTAAATGATGTTGTTGCGAGAAGCTTGAACGCACAATAATGGGTAAATGGTTGGTTTAAGTTAATGTGAATAATGTCTATTGTGAATAATGGTTAAATTTGGTGAGTAGGCTAATGTAATAAATTGTATTTTAACCTAATGTGGTAATTAGGTTTGTGGAGTAATGTGATAAAAGTCTGTAAAGGATATGAAAAATGACGAAATACTGAATATTAGCTTAATAGGATTTGTTACAGTGGCCATAAGCCATGGGGGTCCGGAAAGGGTGAATAGACTATAGAAAAGATTACATGAGAGTGAGAGAGTATCTTGGAAGTATGCAATGGAAGGAAGAACTTAGAGGGAAGTCAACCGTCTAGGAAATGATGGACCAAGTCACACTGAGATGCAAAGAGGCAGAAGAGAGATTCAGACCATCAATAAAATAAAAGAGTAGGAAAGAATATAATAATCCATGATTGAGTAGAAAGGTCCAAGAAGCAAAAAACGAAAAGCAGGAGGGAGTGGAAGAAATACTGAGGTCAAAGGATAGAGGAAACCCGAAATAGATGCAAAGGGGCTAGGGACGAATGCATTAACATACGAGAGATGTTGGAGGGAAGCTATGGAAATGACATTGCCTCTAAAGCCAAGACCAAACCAAAATAATCCTACATAATCTTATAAGAGGGAAAATGACGGTCAACAACCAAGTTACATAAAAGGGGGAGGTGAAAATACAGGAAATGGTTATGAAAATACAGGAAATGGTTATGAAAATACATAAACAAAATAAATGTTATGAAATTTGTGAGGAACTTAATGCCAGCTTACATAGAGAGGTGTAAGTTGAGCGTAAGAATAGTAGGATAATGAGCTAAAAGAGCAGGTTGTAGAGGTAAGCTTAATTCATAAATTGAAATGAAGTTATGAGAGGAAAATCATTGGAGTCATTGCATATGAAAACATTATTTACTTCTGTACATTGGATGCTTTAATTATTCATAATTTGTTTTTTGTATTTTGTACACACACACACACACACACACACACACACACACACACACACACACACACACACACACACACACACACACACACACACACACACACACACACACGACGGTAGGTAGAATTACAATAAAATGAAATAAAATTAATAAATTTAATGGTCAATAAAATTTCAATATTCGTGATGAAAAGTTTAATGTTTTTTTTATAACTTTTTATTTAATTGTTTTTCTTATCTTACTATGTTTTCATATTTTTTTTTATTTTTTTTTTTGGATTCTTGCTTTTTGTTGTCAATATTAAAATAAATGAGCTTCGTAGATCATAAAGCGAGAAGCAACACAGCACAGCCGTCCCTGCGACCCTGCGGTGACCAAGTCACCTCACCACCTGGTGGTAGAGTGAGATCACAATCATGACCTTGCGACGTCACAAGCACCACCTGGTGACCGTGTGGTGACGTCACAGTCACCACTCGGTGACCAAGTCACCACTCGGTGACCAAGTCACCTCACAATCACCTTCCTGTGACATGGTGACGTCGCAATTCCAACCCTGTAACTATAGTGAAGTCACAATCACTACCCGGTCACCGAGTGATGTTACAATAGCCCCCAGGTGGTAGATTAACATCACAATCACTACTATTTGACCGAGTAACATCACAATCACCAGTGTCTTAATCCTCAAACTGAGTACTACATGACGTCACAATCACCATAAAGTGGCTAAGTGACGTCATATTCCCCCATACATTGACGTCACAATCACCATATAGTTGTTGAGTGTCACAGTTATTCAGTGTCGTCACAATCACCATACCGTGATTGTGAGCAATCACTAATCACCATACCAATAAAAATACTGTCTAAGTGACATCACACTCACTATATAATGAGTAACGTCACAATACAATGAGATACTATTGTTATCTTTTACATATTAAAGGCTAGTTGAGTACAACATACAATGACCTGGTGACATCACTTGACAATGACCTGTGACGTCAGCCGACAGTGGTTTCATGATGTCACCTGCCCAATACAATGACATGCTACATCGCTTAACAAAGATTTAGCAACGTTTACCTGACAGTAATCTGGTAAGATCAGTGTGCAATAACCTTGTGACATCACTGTGCAACAACCAAATGAAGTCACTCCGACATCCCACAAAAATATTTGGCATAAACTAACATGATGATAAATCGGTGCAGATAACATTCCATATAAAACTACATATAATGATTATTCTTGAGGTACATTTAACATTTTTCTATCATTCATCATAACGTTGAGAGGGGAGAGAGAGTATGGGGGGGGGTTGATGAGAAAGGAGGGGAGAGTGAGGGGTGAGAAGAAGAGGAGGTAAAAAATGAGGAAATGTAGGTAGAAAGATGGTGTGGGAAGTGAGTGTAGAGATTATGAGGAGGCTGGAATGGGGGGGAATTGTTGATCTAGTAGGAAGGGGGAAGGCAGGAGAAGCATGCTGGGAGAGGGGGAGAGTGGTGAGGGGAGGGTTGAAAGGGGCTGAGAGGAAGAGGTGCTCTCTGAGGAAAAGTAGGCAAGCCTTCAGGTGAAATTGCTAAACGTAAATACACTGAAGAAGCGCTCTAAATATGGCTCTTATGTACAGTACTGTGGACGACACGGGCCTTCTACGGGAGGAAGAGGTAGAGGAGAGGAGGATATGAACGGCGAGGAGCGGTTAGGGGGTAGAGGAGGAGAAGGAGGAGATCGAAGGGTTAAGGGGACGATAAGAAACATCGAGTGAAGATGATTACTGAAGGTCGAGAAGTGTGGATGGATGTGGCGAGAGCCTACAAGAGGCGGGGCTGGGGACGAGGACGGGGCGAGGCTTTAGGGTCAGTTAAGATCTCCAGAATTGCCCAATCTGGACGCCCGTGTGTGTGTGTGTACACGAGACAAGGGGGCCCCCGACGGCGACTCCCTCAACAGGGACCTCTGGCGGGCGCTGCTCTAGCATACAATGCATCATGGTAGTGAGCAGCGTAAGGGTGAGAACGGCCGCTCTCTGGCGGCACCGAGCAACACTGCTACCGCCTGCCAGCGTAAAGTGTACATTTGTCTTAATTACGTACGTATTCATAAGCTCCTCAAACGGCGGCCGGCGGAATCGATAATGAACCTTGAGAGCGGTGCGTGGTAGGGTTCGTGTGGCGTGGGTCGCGGCGCTACACTGTCGCGCCGGGCCTAAGATAAACACACAGACCGGCTGCAGCTGAAAGGGACTGTAGGCTATCACCATCATTATACACTGCACTAGTTTTAGCCACTCGTGCTGCTGCTGCCATTCCTGCTTCTGGCGGCGCTGCCGTCGCAAGTGTGGCAGCGCCTGGTGGTGGGGTGTTGTTACTGTTGCAGCAGCTGCTGTTGCTGGTGCTGCTGTCAGCACTGATGCTGTTCCGTCTGCTCCCTCGTGTTGAAGTTGTCGCTGCTTCTGTTATCGCCGGTATTTGCATCATTCATATCTGCTAATGTCGCATCTGGAGATTCTCCATTTTTGCAAAAGGTTCACAGCACACAAAAATATATATATATATATATCCAAAAGAAATCGTCAGCTTAAGGATTTCTCTCTCTCGTCACCATTGTTTTCTTTAACACGACCGACTCGCTTGTTATCACCGACCCTTTGTTACATGATTGCTTGTGTTGACACCGATCTTTCTAGCGGATGCTGCTAGCTGTATCACCTGAGGGGCATCTTTCACCATATCCATGACTTGCACACTCATGGAAGTGGAACGAATATTTGCTCACAAAGTGCAAGGCATTAATAACACAAGGAGTTTCAAACAACCAGAGGTGGTACCCCCTCTATATATATATATATATATATATATATATATATATATATATATATATATATATATATATATATATATATATATATATATATATATATATATATATGAGGAATCTTAAAAGCACAAAACGAGCATCTCTTCACTTATTACTTTTGTTCGTATGACTTTTAATTCACGTTTTATTAATATTCATCACTTTTTGTATTCATGCTATAAGCATAAAATTTACTTTGCATTCATTTCATAAAATTAAGTTCACCACTCATCGTGGCTTTTGCTCTGAGCGTTTCACATGTACAAATTAAAAAGAAAATTCCATCGTTTAACCTGAGTACCGCTCATTTTCCTCTGAGAAAAGAAAAAAATATCATATTCTAAATGCGTTTTTATCATAAATTTGCTGACATTGTATACGGTTACTTCGTTATGAACGCTATATATAACTATCTCCAGTTTCATAAAATAAACTTACTGTCTGCAAGTTGTTGTAATGGTATTATATATAACGCAAAGATCTATTACATTTTATATATTTTACTTAAGTCTTGACCTTTATCCTGATCAGATTTAAGTTTATTTCCACATTACTCATAATGAGCTCACAATTTCCATATTAAAAAAAACTTCAGGAGCGTCAGTGGGTTACACTCTCAAGATGCACTCAAAATGTTGCACTCTAGGGATGGTTGCACTCTTGGGTTGCATTCTCAGACTGCAATCACAAGCCCCGTCTCGCTTATTCAGCAATTACGGATGCGATATATGGTACATTCTCAATTTACATTTAAACATTACAGTCGAAAAATGACATTTCGTATTGCAGTCTGAGCATGCAATATGAGGTTTCACTCTTAAGATTTCATTCTTAAGATTTCACTCTTGGTCTTCACTTCGGGGTCGATGAGAAAGTTATTCTATATTTGGCACTGTGTCGAGTCTTGTTAGGTGGTGTGGGTTACTGGGTGTTTGATTGGTTGCGTCGACGGGGTCATTGTGGGATAGATGTTGGGATGGTTGCCGCATAGGAGTCGTAGTGTGCTTGTGGGCTTACAGGGAGGAATGTCTAGAGGGCTGCTGACACACATTCACACCTGGAATGATTGAAAATGCAACATTAGCTTGACCATCCTGTTTGCCTACAACATTTCAACTTTGAAAGCATTACATATTTGTATATGTATGTGTTCATAAATATTACATATTTGTAGATGTAAATGGATATGTCTGTCTGTCTGTCTGGCTGTTTGTACGAGATTTCAGGGCAGACTGTTTGGGCTTGATTCACCCAGGTTTTCCCAGTACTTGCTGTTGGGTACGTGCCCAACATGGGCGGGTCGGGATTGGCATCAAAGAAAAGAGTGCCATGTGACGCTGTGCCAGTGCCACTTACGAAAATCTCGCTGTACCATTATGACTTGACTACAAATTATTATTATTATTATTATTATTATTATTATTATTATTGCTGCCTTATCATAATACTTTACACTCTACTCATGCTAAAATTAAAAAGCAAAATCTAATCAAAATACTTACCCTTTAAACCCTACAGAGAGTGTGATAGAAAGACCTAAGATTTTTCGGATTGTGTGAGTTCTTATCTGGTGATAATTGCTCATAAACGACTATGTGTGAAATTTTCTTAAGTGTTATTAGTGATATTGCACGAGAGAGAGAGAGAGAGAGAGAGAGAGAGAGAGAGAGAGAGAGAGAGAGAGAGAGAGAGAGAGAGAGAGAGAGAGAGAGAGAGAGAGAGAGAGAGAGAAGAAAGAGGGGTGGGGAACAGACAGATACACATAAACAATTATACAATTCTCATCGAAACAATATATGGAATCTCATTTTCCAGGGTAAAAGTCCCATAATGTGTAGTACTATCCAAATCAAAGAAAACAAAACCTTTTAATTATTTTCTAAAGTTGATTTACCATCTTTTCTAACATGAATTTTATATAACAACTACTTATTGTCCTCCGCCAGTAATTTACATCTATGATCGAGACACGGACTAACTGCGACATATAGACAGAGCTCTTGACCGTTGTTCTCACCTGTTCGGGTTGATTGAGATGATCCAGGTGGTGTGGGAGGAGGAGGAGGAGGAGGGGTGGTGGAGACGAGGGAGAGGTGGGTGTTACCTTAGCAACACCCACACAACACCTGCCAACACCCCGGCCATCGCCACTCCCGCCTCCAGTCTTATTACACTCGCTGACCCTCCTGCAACAGCCACCAGCAACATTCATTAGATAATGGATTTATTACAAACACACACATCAAAAGTATGCACAAAGCTGTCAACACACACACACACACACACACACACACACACACACACACACACACACACACACACATACACACAAACACACACCAAAAGTATGCATAAAGCGGTCCCCTCAAACACACACACACACACACACACACACAACACACACACACACACACACACACACACACACACACACACACACACACACACACACACACACACACACACACACATACACACACACACACACACACACACACACACACACCAAAAGTATGCATAAAGCGGTCCCCTCAAACACACACACACACCCAAGGAACCCCAGAGTGAAGGTCCTCACCGGTAAACAATCCTCTTCCCTCAAAGTGCTCGCCGCGGTGGGTCAGATGAGCGTGCGCGAAGATGGCCTTCTCGCGGAAGTAGACGGCAGCGATGGTGGCAGTGCAGCGGAGCTTGAGGTGCCCCTGCTGCAGGTGGCTCCTTCGGGCTCGGAAGTGCAAGCCCAGGATGGACGTCTCGAGCCCTTCGGCGTTAGGTACGGGCGCGTAGTCCACCAGGGATATGCTGTCGGCCTGAGGGATTATTGCAGTTATAGTGATAATCGATGACGGTGTTCTGGTGATTATAGTAGATGATCTTTAATGGGGATTGCAATGGTTGTCAAAATAGGTATGGAGGTGGGGGTTGTAGTGATGCTCAGTAATAGGAAAAAAAATGGGAAAAAACGAGAGAGAAGGAAAGAGAGACGAGATATTATTATTTAACTTAGACAAGAGGTATACAGCACACCAATATGCCGGGATAGACAGTATACCAGCCTGGGATACAAACGTAATTTCGTTTGTGACAAAGTTCCTGAAAACTTGAAAGCTGATCTGTCAAAATACTTCATCTGTCGAAACATCGAATCTGTTAATTCTGGTCATAAGCACAAACAAAGAACCAACCCTACTTGAACATTTGATGATCAAGTAGATCAACTCTTCAACCTTCTATCAGGGAAAAAATAAGAAATATAGTTGAATCTAAGCTGAGGACTCTTAGGAGCATCACGAGATATATCTAATTATCTCAATTAACTTGAACTTCAAAATGTTTCTACAGTAGCAACAAATGATCAGGTTCGAAGATTAAAACAAACTTGAAGATTTATTATGATTAAAAAGGCATACATAATAATTAATCAGACAAAAATAAATGGCTAAACAGGAATCGCAGAATATTTAGAATAATCACACAATAATTAAATAATAATACAAATGCAGAATCCACTAAAGCAATCTTACCGATTCTCAGATTGAAGAACAGGAAGAACAGCAATAACACACTGATGAACGAAACTGAAAACACTGGTTAACCTGCAGTGACAAAAATCAAAAGGAATGGAGAAGAAACACACAAGAAAAGCTTAGGTTGGCCGAGAGTACACGGAGAGGAGAGAGCTCAAGAAAGTTTTCTTCCCAGCCACAGAGAGGAGAAGGAGATGAAGGAAGTTAAGACATGGTGAAGACATTCTTTCTTTGGGGGACCTAACCTGCCATTCTCCCACGGACGACGCAAGGGAACGCGAGTAAGAGAAGAGCCAAAGAGAGAATTTAAGAAAGATGTGTACACCACCAAGATAATTATATTGTAGGGATTGGTTAGCATACATGCGCACTTTTACGTACACACACACACACACACACACACACACACACACACACACACACACACACACACACACACACACACACACACACACACACACACACAAGATGCCCCCATGATGTTGCGTTGGGGGCTGGGGGTTGATATCACGCCAGACTTGTCCCCTGAAGCCCATATCAAGAGGATAATATCAGCGGCATATGCCATGTTGGCTAACATAGGAACGGCCTTTAGAAACTTGTGTAAGGAATCTTTCAGAACTTTGTATGCCACATATGTCAGACCAATCCTGGAGTATGCGGCTCCAGCATGGAGTCCATGTCTATTCAAGCATTAGACTAAACTGGAAAAGGTTCAAAGATTTGCCACTAGACTAGTACCCGAACTATACTGAGTATGAGCCTAGGTATACTAGTATGAGTATACTAGTATGAGCTACGAGGAGAGACTACGAGAATTAAACCTCACGTCACTGGGAGACAAAAGAGTTAGAGGGGACATGATCACCACATACAAGATTCTCTGAGGAATTGATAGAGTAGATAAAGACAGACTATTTAACAAAGGGGCACACGCACTAGGGGACACAGGTGATAATTGAGTGATCAAATGAGCCATAGAGACGTTAGGAAGAACTTTTTCAGTGTCAGAGTAATAGACAAATGGAATGCATTAAGGAGTGATGTGGTGGAGGCTGACTCCATACTCAGCTTGAAGTGTAGATATGATAGAGCCCAGTAGGCTCAGAAACCTGTACATTAGTTGAATGACAGTTGAGAGGCGGGACCAAAGAGCCAGAGCTCATCCCCCGCATGCACAACTAGGTAAGTAAGAAGAACAGGAAAAAATGAAATAACGCTATAGATGAGAAATCTGAAGCAAAAGAGGATGAAGAAAACACTGGAACTGACAATGAAAAAATATATTAAAAAACGCTAAAAGTGAGCGATTAAAAAACACATCTGTCAATAAATTTTGATTAAAATTTTGAATCCGTGTTCCGTGGTTCGAGGCTCCCCTGGTCCATGTAAATGAAATGCTATTATCCACGTTTATTGTGGTTATATATATATATATATATATATATATATATATATATATATATATATATATATATATATATATATATATATATATATATATATATATATATACAACTTTAGAACACTTTCCCACCAGGAGACTCGAACCCTAGCCAGCACAGAAGCCTTCCAGCAACTGGCATAACAGGTACGCCTTAACCCTCTTCACCACCTGCTCAGACCCTTAAAAGAGATGGTAATTTCGGAGTATTTAAATACACCAAAGATCAACACCTCCCAAGAGCACTAGAGCAAGTGAGGGGTCATTTAGACGTTAATTTCATCAAGTCCCTGTTAATATGGGAAGACACAGTGTCTATGCTTAAGGCACAACTCTCCTAAACACGAGAGTGAAGTATACAACTTTAGAACACTTTCCCACCAGGAGACTCGAACCCTAGCCAGCACAGAAGCCTTCGGCACAACTCTCCTAAACACGAGAGTGAAGTATACAACTTTAGAACACTTTCCCACCAGGAGACTCGAACCCTAGCCAGCACAGAAGCCTTCCAGCAACTGGCATAACAGGTACGCCTTAACCCTCTTCACCACCTGCTCAGACCCTTAAAAGAGATGGTAATTTCGGAGTATTTAAATACACCAAAGATCAACACCTCCCAAGAGCACTAGAGCAAGTGAGGGGTCATTTAGACGTTAATTTCATCAAGTCCCTGTTAATATGGGAAGACACAGTGTCTATGCTTAAGGCACAACTCTCCTAAACACGAGAGTGAAGTATACAACTTTAGAACACTTTCCCACCAGGAGACTCGAACCCTAGCCAGCACAGAAGCCTTCCAGCAACTGGCATAACAGGTACGCCTTAACCCTCTTCACCACCTGCTCAGACCCTTAAAAGAGATGGTAATTTCGGAGTATTTAAATACACCAAAGATCAACACCTCCCAAGAGCACTAGAGCAAGTGAGGGGTCATTTAGACGTTAATTTCATCAAGTCCCTGTTAATATGGGAAGACACAGTGTCTATGCTTAAGGCACAACTCTCCTAAACACGAGAGTGAAGTATACAACTTTAGAACACTTTCCCACCAGGAGACTCGAACCCTAGCCAGCACAGAAGCCTTCCAGCAACTGGCATAACAGGTACGCCTTAACCCTCTTCACCACCTGCTCAGACCCTTAAAAGAGATGGTAATTTCGGAGTATTTAAATACACCAAAGATCAACACCTCCCAAGAGCACTAGAGCAAGTGAGGGGTCATTTAGACGTTAATTTCATCAAGTCCCTGTTAATATGGGAAGACACAGTGTCTATGCTTAAGGCACAACTCTCCTAAACACGAGAGTGAAGTATACAACTTTAGAACACTTTCCCACCAGGAGACTCGAACCCTAGCCAGCACAGAAGCCTTCCAGCAACTGGCATAACAGGTACGCCTTAACCCTCTTCACCACCTGCTCAGACCCTTAAAAGAGATGGTAATTTCGGAGTATTTAAATACACCAAAGATCAACACCTCCCAAGAGCACTAGAGCAAGTGAGGGGTCATTTAGACGTTAATTTCATCAAGTCCCTGTTAATATGGGAAGACACAGTGTCTATGCTTAAGGCACAACTCTCCTAAACACGAGAGTGAAGTATACAACTTTAGAACACTTTCCCACCAGGAGACTCGAACCCTAGCCAGCACAGAAGCCTTCCAGCAACTGGCATAACAGGTACGCCTTAACCCTCTTCACCACCTGCTCAGACCCTTAAAAGAGATGGTAATTTCGGAGTATTTAAATACACCAAAGATCAACACCTCCCAAGAGCACTAGAGCAAGTGAGGGGTCATTTAGACGTTAATTTCATCAAGTCCCTGTTAATATGGGAAGACACAGTGTCTATGCTTAAGGCACAACTCTCCTAAACACGAGAGTGAAGTATACAACTTTAGAACACTTTCCCACCAGGAGACTCGAACCCTAGCCAGCACAGAAGCCTTCCAGCAACTGGCATAACAGGTACGCCTTAACCCTCTTCACCACCTGCTCAGACCCTTAAAAGAGATGGTAATTTCGGAGTATTTAAATACACCAAAGATCAACACCTCCCAAGAGCACTAGAGCAAGTGAGGGGTCATTTAGACGTTAATTTCATCAAGTCCCTGTTAATATGGGAAGACACAGTGTCTATGCTTAAGGCACAACTCTCCTAAACACGAGAGTGAAGTATACAACTTTAGAACACTTTCCCACCAGGAGACTCGAACCCTAGCCAGCACAGAAGCCTTCCAGCAACTGGCATAACAGGTACGCCTTAACCCTCTTCACCACCTGCTCAGACCCTTAAAAGAGATGGTAATTTCGGAGTATTTAAATACACCAAAGATCAACACCTCCCAAGAGCACTAGAGCAAGTGAGGGGTCATTTAGACGTTAATTTCATCAAGTCCCTGTTAATATGGGAAGACACAGTGTCTATGCTTAAGGCACAACTCTCCTAAACACGAGAGTGAAGTATACAACTTTAGAACACTTTCCCACCAGGAGACTCGAACCCTAGCCAGCACAGAAGCCTTCCAGCAACTGGCATAACAGGTACGCCTTAACCCTCTTCACCACCTGCTCAGACCCTTAAAAGAGATGGTAATTTCGGAGTATTTAAATACACCAAAGATCAACACCTCCCAAGAGCACTAGAGCAAGTGAGGGGTCATTTAGACGTTAATTTCATCAAGTCCCTGTTAATATGGGAAGACACAGTGTCTATGCTTAAGGCACAACTCTCCTAAACACGAGAGTGAAGTATACAACTTTAGAACACTTTCCCACCAGGAGACTCGAACCCTAGCCAGCACAGAAGCCTTCCAGCAACTGGCATAACAGGTACGCCT